AACAGTCATTAAAACACTGATTGGCTAAGAAAAATTATTAAAATGGCAGCTAATCATTTTCAAAGACTGCGGTATAATCCTTTATATATAAATACTGGAACAAGGAAGGGCTTCCGGAACTGTCAAACTCCCTACTTCTCTACCTGCATTTCTATGGATGGCAAAAAAAAAAAGTTTGGTATTCCAATGTTATCCGACTGCTCAGTCATTCCCAAAGCAATATATGTTGCTTCTAAACTGTTTTAGGTACACTGTGAAGAATTTGTTCCTCAATTTGAAAAACAATATCCTGAATATCTGTGGACAACAGTACAAGTAAGTAAGCAATTTGTCTTTAATTTCATAAGCTTCTATGAATCCAACTCAATAAACTGTCTTTTTGAAAAGTTACTTTTTCCTCAGAAAACATACTTCAGTCCATCAGCTTCATAAAGGACAGCAAATGTTAACCTTTACATTATCATAATTAATTTATTTGGACTAATTCAACCTCAAACGCTGTTTTTAGCATTTGAAAAATTTATTTCATGGCTACATTGAGAATTCCTTACATTGGACTTGGTAATTAAAAATAACGTCAGGATCCTGGGAGCAGGATCAGTTTTCCTGAGAGTTCTACCTGAGAAAGGATGCCATTTATAAAAGCCTGTGGTTATGAACATTCAGTATTCCATGCAAAACAGCATGGAAGCCCACAGTATCAAGTGTAAATCATAACAGGTGCTGCTGTTACGACTCTGGAAAAGTTGTTTTCAAAGCTTTCAGTACTATTCTGTTCCAGTAGGGTATTAACTCTGAATCTGGGGAGTTGAACCACTGAAATATTCAGGCTCTGGCTTCCTTTATTCTGAAGGACTTCACAACACAAGAGGCAGCCAAAACAAGTAGAAAACTAATCTTCCCAAATCAGGTTTTGACCTAGCTATATTAAGCAGAGCTGTAGGTCTAAAGATCTCCCTGTAAGCTTTCATGTTAGCTCGCTTTGCAGGACACTGGAGCTCATTTGCAAGATGAGGATGTGCCCAGCTGTGCCAAATAAGCCTTACCTCAAGGGTGCTGTGCTCAAGGGGCTTTGTTACCAGGCTGGATAGTGCAGAGGCTGTATTTGCATACTGTGGCAAATTTTTTAAAAAGTTAAGCTGATCTCTTCTCATAGAAATACTGAGTTGGTGGAGGAGGGATTTTTAAATGAGCACATTATCCCATTTGTTGAATTAAATCTTGACTTGGATGCTGCAGTGTAGGATTTTCAGCTGCTGCTCCAGCTTCTCTGCATTAGTGAGCTGATCTTAGACCTGTGTCTGCCTTTGCACAAGAGAACTGATGATTCCCTAACACTAAGACATACTTAGGCATATTTTATATGCAAAGAAAAGGCTCCCAGTACTGTGTTTATGAAAAATATGCAGGAAGGCAGATGAGGATATTCTCATTCTTACTCATAAGCAATGCTTGAAAGAAAAAGCTGAATGTGAAATGATGATTCAGAAGTACACACGTAACTGAATTGTTGCATTCTTCCATATTTATAACAAGTCAAAAGATGCAGAAGAAATTGTGACTGAGTACTGATTAATGTATGTGCTTTCAAAAGTGAATAAATTACCCAGCTGTGGGTTGATTTGCATAAACTAATTCATAGCCATTTTAGCTAGAACCTCACATCCAAGTAAAGACATTCAGAGCATGACAGGTTGTGCAGCATTGGGATTGAGATAGTCTGAAAGAAACTGCAGAAACTGATAAACAGATCAAAAGAAACCATACAGAGGCTACACAAAGTAGTGATGTGTGCCACGTGCAGAGTATTACTCTCTATGCATTTGCAAATACTGCAGATTTACTGCAGTATAGTTTCCATGCTAAAAATTATACCTGTATGTCCTATTGGCTAATTGCTTATGGAAACACCAGTGTGGTAGACACAAACATATATAAACTTCCAACACCATTTGTAGATGTCGGTGTAAGCAGGTAGAAAACTTTTCTTGGCAGAACAAAGCTAAGTTAGGTTTAACAGGCAGGGAAGGAAAAAACTTCACTGTTGCACTGCTGGTGTGCACAGAGCTTCCCTGGGTTTTCTCTTTCTCCTCCTTTGTGTAGAAGTGTAGTATCGTACCTGATGGTTAAGAAGAAAGCTAATTCTAATAATAAGTGTGCCATCATTAGGATTTCTCTTGTATTTATTTGCTCCCAGAAGAAGTCCTCAGATATCTGCCAAGTGCTTGCCCCTTTCACTGTTGGCCTTTGTCTCAGTGTACATTTCGAAGTTAATGCTGTGCAGATTTTTCTGTTAGCTAATGTAATTTATATAAACTCTTCAAAATGTGAATGCATGAAGTGATTAAAAAGTGGGTTTTTTTAACTTGCTTCTGTGGTAGGAACTTTGCTTCTTGTTCTGAGACCTTTTTTTATTACTACTAGGCAAACATTTTTAAGGCATTTGCTGAGTTGTTCCAAGTTGCTTCAGCTAAGCCTGCACCTCTTGGCATCTGTGATTATCCATCATCAAGAGCAATATATGCCATTGACTTGATGCTTAAATGGGACACCAGCAGAGATGGTGAGAGGAGTTCATTTCTTTGCATGTTGAATTCTTATTTGTGAACATTTTCAGGAATTTATTTTCTTTGCTCAGATTCTTACACATTTTCAAGCAGTGTAAATTGTACACTCTGTTCCTCCCACTGACATCAAAGGGTATCTGAAGTTGCAGGTCTGTGGAGCTAGAAGATGCTGTGCTGGTTAACTGTGATGGTAGAGGGAGCTGCTAACTACTTGGCTGAGTCCATGCCTCCCTTGTACTCCTGCTATGGCTTTGTTTTAGTTTGCTTAAACGCAGCTGTACAGGGGCAAGTTTTCTTTTCAATATACAGTGAGAGAATTCCTGCCTGTGTGCTAAAGCCTAAAAAAGAGACACCCTGTGGCTTGGCCCAGTGTCTTCAGATTGCAGTGTTATTTAGTTAAGCAGACAAGGGACCATGTTTACCATTTCAGTGCTGTTGATGTCTTTGGGACTGTCACTCAGTTGTCTCTGCAAGAATGTGTATATGGAGATGCTTCATGTAAATGTCACAGCATGGCTGACAACCAGTTGCAGCCTTTCTTCCAGCTATTTGTGGATGACTGGTAGGAAAAAAACGCCAAATAAGGCAAATTTTTTCTTATCTTGCCAGAAAGGTCAAAAATGTCTGCAAGTGCACACCAACCTCTTACAGGGAGAAGAGCTGCAGAGGCACCAACACAGAAATGAACTTCCAAGGGACTAGAAAAGAATTCTCAGTTCCCAAGACACAAGCAAAATTCCTAGCTTGTGCCTGGCTTTGCTAAAGGAGCGATTAGGAGTGAAACAAAAAACCCTGACAGGTTGGGTCATAAAAGATGACTTCTAGCCATTTTCTAGCTTAATGACAGGCAATGGTTCAGGGTCTCTGTATAGCTTGCATTAAAAGGCAGTGTCTGTGTTCCCTTTGACAGGAAAAAGAATCATGCAGCCTCAGATCCTGGAGGTGAATTTCAATCCTGATTGTGATAGAGCCTGCAAATACCACCCTACCTTTTTTAATGATGTCTTCAGCACCTTATTTCTGGATGAAGTGGACAACTGCCACGTGACGTGCATCATCTAGCCACAGGAGGCTTGATTCTTTCCTTCACGGATCTGCTTAATAGCAATATTTACATTTCAGTTCTATGAGCTGCTGATGCAATTATTTTCCTGTATTAGTAACCCAGGAAAAAAAATGAGAAGAATGCATATAGACCTTATACTGTACTTACTGATAATTGTTTTGTCTGCATTTTCCTTGTGTTGCTTCGTGCTGTAAATCATCAATTTGTATTGACCAAATGTCTTGTTTATTGAATATGGGAAACCTCAAAATAGGACAGAACTGGAACACCTGAGTTGTCTCTCAGGTAGACTAAGCTCCTGCTTTCTTGCTGGGAAACGTGGTGTAGTTCCCTGTGTGAACATTAAAATTACAGTTTACTGAATCATCTTGGAGTCTGTATCATTTTCTTAGCCACTCTTCTGTTGTACAAAGATCTGAAATGTTTATGTCAGTAGGCAGAGGTAAAACAGCTTATTAAAGTTGCATTTGGCAAGTTTATTGAAAATGAAGTATATGAAGCTTGAATGAGGAAGGTGGGGGAAAGATCAGTAAAAGCTCCTAGTAGTTTTCCAAAAGCTATTCAGCATCTGCTGAAATCTGTGCATGAAGTTATTGGTCTGTGTTAATTTTGAGTTCTTTGTGCGTACAGGTGCTATAAAGTGGGGAAAAAAGGAACATGAACTGTTAGCATCTCATTTCTGACCCACCGAAGAGAGGTGAAGTATTCTCGAGGACTGGAACAGACTAATTTACTTCAAGTACTTTGACTGAGGACAGAAGGGTGATATTATATTTTTCTCCCATTAAAATGTATTTCAGTGAAGTAAACTACTGGGGATATGAGATTGGAATATCTGATGGCTCTTTACATTTTTTGATTTGTATGCAGTACTGTTAGGATCCTTGTTATGGCTGACTGTCATCCTTAGCTTGGCCCTTAAAGAGAGAAACTGGATTTCTGAGGAGGTGTCAGGCAGAAACTGGGAGGGATATAATGTCCAGAGCAGCAACAAAAGGCAGAAGGCCTAAAGAAATGAAAGGATTTGGGGAAACTCTGCTAGAAGCCTGAACAGTCTTTGGATTGTTAAGGGCATAAGACAGACCTGTTTGGGAATGAGGTTTTCAAATGATTAATTTCAAATTAATCATTCCTGATCTCCCCTCAGATCAGCAAGTCTGAAATTAAGCAATTTTAGGCAGTATTATGTTGCTTTGTATGTGTGGACAATTTATAAAAGTTGTTTTCTCTACCATGAAGTATATGTAGTGCGCGTAGTATTTTTTACCTAGCTGCAGTTATCAGAATCTGCTTGAAAGCAAAGTAAAGTTATCAAGTTGTATAAAATGATCTAAACCTTGCTTCAAGCTTTACAAATAAGCAATGTGCTGTCCCTGACAATAAGGAAGGGAAAGATTGTTTAGGCTATTTTGGGGTGCTCTTCTTCAGAAGCCTGTTTTGTATAGTCAACTAAAATGCTGAGTAGAGGAATAAACCATCTGTGAAAGTCTGAGTGGCACTGGATGTTGCAACAGGTGCTTGAGACTGGATCTGAGAGGATGCTCAGCAGATGCCCTGTGACTTATAGGAAAGCAAAAGATACTTTCTGCCTTGAATGTACTTGAAAACAAGTAAAAGAGACTGAATCTAGAGCAGAGGGGGAAGTTTCCTTCATCGCAAAGGGGACAGCAGCATCACGTTTAGCAAACCAGAAGAACGACCTGATTAAAGTAAGATTTGTGTGGTAAGACCACAAGCTGTGGACTAGAATACTCTGTTATGCTTTTAGACAAAAGGTTTTTTTGTTTCTTCTACCTTCCTTCTTTTAGGAAGCAGCTGGGTGAATTAAGCATCTCAGATCTTACTGTGTCAGTTACCATAACCCGAGAGGAAAAATCCGTTCCCGTTTTAAGCAGCTAAAATGAGAAGGTGCAGATAGGAGACAGCTTTAGTGCCTATGTATGCAGTCTGCCCACAGCCTGGCTTCTTGCTCCACCGACAGGGCTGAATGGTGAACACAGCACATGTGGATGCTCTTTGGCCAATGTTGCTGGGGCTGCCAGAGGTATGTACAGACAGCTGCTGAATATTTGGGTACTCTTGGCTTACAAATACTCTGAATTTGCTGTTTTGTCTTGCCCATTGTAATACTGAAAAGAGAGGAAGGGGCCCCCTTTAGGCTACAGCATCCTGTTGCCTCTCGCGTTTTTTTCTTTTTGTTCAAAATCTTTTAGTAACAACAAAAACAGTGGAGGAAAAGTAAGTTTACATGTTGTTTAATATCTTTAGACACTTAAGATTGTACAGTGCTTCCAAGTGGGATGGCACAAATTATGAAAAAAGATCTGGTCTTAAACATTTGCAGAGTACAGTGATCAGAAGACACGGCAGCTGCAGTGGGACTGTAAGGTACCATGCTTAGTGGTAAACGTGATTGATTCAGGCCACAGTTGCACTTGTGGCTCCGAGGAGCAGCTTTCTGGAAGCTGGATTTCTTCCTCTGAATGAAGTTGCAGTTAGTGCTTATTTCTGGTAATTGTTAAAATGCTGTTTGTCATATAAAATGTGATGCTGCAATACAGAAAAGCAGTACCTTCTGATGTGTGCTATTGTTTAATTTGCTGCGAAACTTCATGCAGGCTTTACTTGCTTACTCGAGGCACGTTTGTTTAAAATGAGGATTGCAGCGTCAAATTATAACATAATGTAAATAGTTCAGCTAAAAAAGTAGTAAGTAAGGCATAACTTTCTTTAGAAAAATCTTGGAGCAAAAAAATGTTTTTGGCCGAAAAGCTGTTTATTCAGATTTCTTGTTGCGATTGTCTTTCCAGATCCGGTAATTGAGCGCAGAAGCCATGGTAAGCCAAGCTAAATACGGGACCATCAAATAAGCAGCTGTTCTGTTGATGTGATACCAGGAAGCAGTGGTAGCTGTCGCTGTACCAGTTGTGAGCAGGAGAGTCGCCAGCCCCTAAAACACAGGAAGGTGGTTAGTGTCCTTTTCCTCATTGCATTTTCTTAACTAGACGGTATTTGTGTGGCTCTTTCCACTTAGCACCAACACTTTGCAGCTCCCTCTGTGAGCTGACTTCTCAGCACATAGCTAGCAAAAAGATTTTTGCTGAGCTAGGAGTTGAACTGACTGATAAAAAGATAAAATGGTCAGAAGAAAGGGCACTGCAGCTGGGAACAGACAAAATCCTTCTCATCCATGCTTTGATTTTTTTTTTTTCTTTTTCCTCTTGGTAGCAGAAACACTCCCTTAGCCACATAATCTCACCCAGTGCTTTTCTGCTCTAGATACTGCCCTAAGAGATGTGGTGTGGTTGAATTAATTACGGGTTGCAAAGCATTCTGCTTTTAAAACATTGCTCTTATATTTAGAGAACCAAGCAAATCATTTTTTAATACTAATTTTTATTTTTAAGGTGAGCTGTTTTTCTTCAGCATGCAGGAAGCTGGTCTTGTCTAAAGCAGATGCTGATTACACGAGTAATGATAAGCTTCTTATCGCCGCTGTTTGCCAAAGAGATACCTAGGAATTTTGCTAAGGCATAAATGTTTACATTTTGTAGTCACAGAAGGCTCTTATCAAAGGGTGACAGAAAGAGCTACTTGTAATCTAAACATTTAAGGGTGTTGTAAATTCTCACAGGTGGCTGCTGGAATGCAGTAAGAACAGCAGCAAACTTCTGCAAGCCATCTTCTGTACTGATGATACAAATTAGGTTCGGTTTCAGAGAGAAAAAATCATGATGCAAGTTTTATCCTCACCACCTTACAGGTGACCGCAAAAGCATAGGCTGAAGAAACAAACTTATTCACTTACCCATCCCATTTTGTGAGCTCCAAAAAATATGGGAGTCCATGCCCAGTTTAATGCCAGCTGCCCTGCATACAGGCCCAGAGGAACCACCGCCTTTTCACTGAAGCCCCCCAGTTCCTTCCACACCAGGTAGGAGCCGTATCTGAAGAAAGCCAATGCAAGGGATAATCCAGTACGTTGGTTAGAAAGCGGCCATGTTTTCTTAAACAAATGAAATCACTTCAGTGTCAGTCTAAATTCACTTGGAAATGTCCTGGCACTACTTGACAGAATGGCTGACTGTGAAGGGTTGATTATCTGCTGCAGACAGCAAGATGGAGAGAAATATTCCCTGTTCTGCCAGAGTTTCATTTCTAGGTGCAGAAAAGAATGACTGCATTTCAGTCTTAGTAGAGAATGCTGTGTTGAAATGGAAACAAGTCAAAGTCTTGAAGGTAAAAGGTAAGTTTCTAAAGAGAGGAAAAAACGGTTCCTGTCAGTACTGAGAGAGGATGGTTTAAAAGTATCTTTGTTTGGAAGAAACCTTTTTAAATAGATGGAAATGAGTTTAGAAGTAGAAATTGAGATGGGAATGGACAAAATGAATAACATCCCAAAGTGCATGCATGACTGTGGATGGTGACTGAGCAGAAAAGGAATCTATAGTCATGTTTCAGAAGGGAGGAGGGAAGGGTACAGAAGGTACAAAGATTTTTAGGACTTGTAGAGAAAGAACTGCAAGGCATGTCCAGCACCCTCTCCCCTTGTTGGGGCACCAGCTTATAAAAAGATCTTCCAAAAATGTTCTGAAGTTTTTTAACAGATCATCTTAATGCCAGAAGAACTGTTCACCAGAACAATTCCAGAACTTAAGCTGATAAAGACAAAAATTATTTGGGAAATGACTACTGTGAAATTTACCTTTAAGAGACTGATTAGAAAAGGAAGTACTCATCAGCCAAGACTCTTTTGTTCATTTGAGTTTTCTATTAGACATACCAATGCAGATGACTACACAGTCATTCCAAGAGTCCCACGGACAAAGTGCCAACACTCTGAATTATACACCTGTTTTAGAATTAGTAACTGAATACAGATTCCACCTTTTTATGAGTCTGCTAGGTGTGTGAACTGCACTGTGCACCTGCTGAACAGCAGGGGGCTCAGCTGTGTTTCTGTGGTAATGAACTTTTAAGCTGTTGCAGTCTACGTATCTCAAGTCACATAAGGAGGATTTCTCTTTGACTCAGAGAGTGAGCCAGGCTTGCTTTGTGGCCATGTCTTTCATAAAGACTAAACAATACAACTTTGGAAGCTTTTTAAACCTTGCTTTAAATTATTTATTGCTTTTAATATTCTCAGATTCTATACGAACGAGAAGTCTTAACCATTCCAAGGGATGTGTGTACATGGCAGGTTATGGAAGCAAAAGCCTGATGATAAATATATTTTCAATCAGCTAGATGTATACAGTATGTAGCTGACACCACTTACCTCAGAACATATTGCTTGCTTTTGGTATTACCAAAGCAAGTGATTTTTAAAAGATTTAACGTGATGTCCAGATTTATGATGAGAATTCAAGAAACAAGTTTACAGATTGCACAGTCAACTTGAAGAAAGCCCCTTGGCTCTTGTCTCTCTGAGAAAAGGCATTTTTTATCCAAGGGACAGCAACCCAAATTCTAATTCTGAACACACAGGAGCAAAGAGCAATTAAATAAATATGCACACATACCCTGTAAGAAGAGGAAAGAAGAAAGAATACAGACAGAAAAAAGAGCACGTGAATCTGTAAAAATTACAAAGCCTTTATTTCCAGAAAAGTAAACCAAAATGAGAGAATGTTAAATCAGCTCTCTTACACTTTCAGGTATGTGTTCAGATATTGGATCATTGCTGTATTTTGCAACGGGTGTTGTAGTATTTAAATTAACCTGCAGGATAATGACATAATGTTGGAAAGGAACAGGTCTCTCTTATTTAACTGCTTTAAAATACTTGGCAGCACAGCAATTGCTGTCAGAAGAACAGGGAATCACGAGGCCAAATCCCATTCCCACAGGTACCCAAGGAGACAGCAGAGAGTTTCAGACCTCTAGAATTAACAGCCTGGCATTTAAGCTGACAGGATGTATGTGTGTATTAGTTTTGATTTGGGGTTTATTCTAATTGAGCTATGTTAAAACAGTTCTGTCCCAATCTTCTCACCCCTCCCTTTTGTTTTTAATTTCCTAAAACCACTGAAGGACACGCAGAGCAGAAATCCCAAAGCCGCTTCACTTCTCTGCTGCCAGCTTGGCAGGTCTTCCCCTCAGAATGAATGAGGAAAGCAGATGAATGGTAGCTTTTCCAACTCCTTTTGAAGTGGACAGTTCTACATGTAAAGTGTGGCCACACACAGCTACCCAGACATGTTTTTACCTGCTTGGCGGACAGCTCAGTACAGTTTCTTGCAGACATTCAAGCCACAGAAATAGAATAATAGTTTTCTAGTCTAGCATTGTATAACGAACAACCTGGAGATCAGATAAGTGTATTGATACAATGTGAAAAACATACCCCATAGATGTATAGAGAGTTCCCCAAACTGGAGCAAACACCCAGTTAGGGGGACACCAGGAGGGCTTCTGCAGAGATTCATACCACACTGGGATTTCCTTTCTGGTTATCTTGCTTCCTAAAACTCCTCCTGCGTGGGGCAGAAGCGTGAAACCCACGGCTGAGGCCCAGGCTGGTACCACTTCCATTGAGACTGAATCTGAAACAAACCCAAAAAAGAGGATTGGCAGAGTAATTTTAAAAGGAAACAACTAAACTATTCCATATTTTTTAGGCAGATTTTAAAAGTATACACAGGAAGGGTCTGATTCACAGCCTACTCTTGTCTCTCAGTGCAGCTGAAATTAATGGATCTTGTATCAACTTTACTGGACAATGCTCACCTCTGTATAGGAACCTATCATTTACTTTCTGGCTTTTTCAAGCTTTCATTTTCTTCTAAGCTTTGTGCAGTAAGGGGTACTGAGTTTTACCTATGTCAATCTTCTCACTTGGGTGTACCAGAGGAATAATGCAGTTTGATAGAAACTTGCATTTCTGTATTCAGTAAGAGCTCCATTCATTCTCTGTAGTGGTGCACTTGGGAATAATGCAGTGTGTCTTGACAGTGCTCAAGCAAAATATATATATTTTGTCCTATATATTGTGTTGTGTTTTTAGCCTTGGAGGGTGCCCAGTGAGCAGTGAGATGGATGTGGTAAGTAGCAGATGCTTGAGAAACTGTCAGAAAATAAAACACTAAGGAGGATGAAGATCTCAGTGGATAGGTGGAGAATGTACCACTGGCTTCTTCCTGAAGCAGGCAATCAGTTGTAGCCATCTTAGCTGCCAAACCCACATGGTCTGTATGGTCTGCAGGATTAAATCTCCCTGCAGAAGTAACACGAAGTGATGCCTCACCCTGGTAGCCGAGCTGCTTGCGTTAGTGTATGGGCACCAATAAAATGAGTAAGAAAGTAAGCAAGGGAAAACTTGGTCACCATTTTTCTGGCCGAAAGTCAAATGCTACAAAAGATCTGTGTTTAGGTTGCTAAAATGCAAATAGATAAGAGGTACAGTAAAAAGGGCAGAACCAAAGCGCATTGTTTTTCAAATACACAGTTGTCAAATACACCCAATTCCTGTTAATCTGTTTGGTGGGAGGGCAGGTGGCAGGAAGGAATCACAAAAGAGACTGCAGGAGGCAGTGGGAGCCCTGGGCCTTGGATACCCCCAGGAGAGAGAGCTGTAGGGCAGTCAGTACTCAGAGATATGCCAAAGAAGGATGTCCTATATAAAACTGTATGAAGGTTTTGTTGGTACAGCTGTATCTGATGCAATGAGGAGACAAGGAGTGGGACAGAGAAAATCCCACCAGTAGCAGATGTGCTTAAGAATTGGATGCTGCACTGATGGCATCAACTGTCAGAGCTCTGCTGGCACCCTGTGTTTTTATGCAGAGAACAGGAGGGAGCCGGGCCAGCAAGGGACATCTCCTTGCACAATGGTCTTCTCACTCTGCCCAGATGACACATGTAGATGTAATGAGGATTAATTTAATTTTGGTAGCTGGGGCCACAAGGCTGAGTAGGATCGTGAACATTTCTGGTGGTAGGTGCAAAGCAGAGATTTGGAAGCAGAGCAGCACAGAAGGATGAGAGAAGCACACAGGGTAGGGCAGTCTGCAAGGAGTTAACAAGAAAGGCCATGTAGGCGGTGGGGCTGCCTCAGGGGAGAGCTGTAGGAGGGAAGGAGTGGGAGCGCACAAAAATGACAGCAAACAAAGCAGTAAAGCTGTCAAAACCAGAACAGAAGGGTGAAGTAGTGCAAGGCAAAAGACAAGCCAAGCAGTGCTAAATAGAGAACTGCGCTGGGCAGAACTGGGGAGGGAGAACAATGCACTACCCTGCTGGAGCAGCACCATGTCTTGGGTGGAGGATGGACTGCAAGGAAGGGAGGAAAAGAACTGCATAGCTCTGCACTGTGGTCACTGCTGCACTTCCTGCCCTGTGTCCCTCCTGCTGCTTTACCACATAATGTCTTACATAGAGTTAAGGAGTTAAGGTGTTCTCCCACACCTTGGTCCTCTGTGGTTGTCCTCAGATGGTAATTCCCAAAGGTTGTGATAGAAGCTGAAAGCTCAGACCTCACCAGTTGTTAGTTACACCACTGCTCACATTGTGAATAAGAGCACACTGGGGCTTAGTTCTGGACACACACCTCAAGTGCCAGTCAGCTCTGCCACCGCAGCACACTGATCCAGTGCCAGTAGGTTTCCCAAAGTGATAAGTGAGGACCTCAGGGGCTTTACACTTGGTCTGGCCACAGAAGCATCAGGGCAGTTTCCTGCAGGTATCAAGCAGCTGGGTTGCATCAGGCATTGTTCCTTCTGTCAACTTTTCCCCATGGAGGAAAGGCCCGACATGGTTTGCAGGCTGGAAGTGCTGAATGCCATCAAATTGGAAACATACTGCTCTGCTGCTGCCAGTGACTAAATGACGCAGCTCCAAACGTGTCCCTCCACACGTCAGAGGAAACACTGAGTGACAAGAAAAGAAATCAGGAGGGCACACAGAAATGGGGAAAGCACAAAGCATAGAAACAGGGCAAGTACCGCTGTGCGTAAACAGGAGATGGGAAGATACAGAAGTAAAAAGGTGGAAGGTACTGGTTTGAGTTGACTGTTGGTGTCCTATTCTTTTGACTGCTGTTATTACTAATTACATACTGTGTTTCCCAACAGCATTTCTCAGGACTTGCCAGCATTGCAAAATGCTCTCCTGCATCAGGTAGAGCTGTGTAACAAAGTTGCAGTGTGCCAGACAGTCAGTCCCGTAACACACTGCTGTCTATCAGCAGTGGAGTTCTGCATTTAACTCCCCAGAAGCTAAATTCCAGCATCAAATGCCCATAAAAAGCAACAGCTGACTCATGGAGCCACACTGATTAACTCTGGAAGAAGCTCTGTCCATCTCTGGTTACTCAGTACAGGTTTTCAGTGAGAGAGAGATCACACAATGGAGACGTGTTGCATCTGAACAAAGAAGTTTGGACTAGCTAGAATGGCAAAAGATCAGGCAGCAGTCATGGGCATACCTGACAGAAGGTGTGATGTGTAAAACCCCAATGCAAGGCGACAAACACAGGAGAAAACATGGTGAAGGGGTCTGAGTGATGCAATCTGATCTCAGAAAAGCTTGTGTTAATAAAGTTTCACTTCTAACCTTTCACCACATGCAGCTTGCAGCTCAGTCCCAAACGTGCAGTGCAGCAACGGATCTGTGCTGTGTGTGGCACGCCCAGGAAATTTCTGAGAGTAATGGAGTTGAAGGGTTCACAAAGCATTGTCAGCCCTGCCTTTTTTTCAATGTAGCATCCTACCCACATTTGTCTGAATTAAACACGATGCTCACAGATTTAGGCCTGAAAACCATCTAAATTTTTACAATCAACTATGAGACAACTACGATTATTTTTTTTCTTTTACATTAATAATGCTGTTACTGTTCATAACTGGAACTACTCATTTGGAATTATATACTGTAACCAGCTGAGGTGATAGGGATCCTTCAGCCACTTGTGCCCTGTGCTCACAGATATGCAGGTTCTGCATTTGGAAACATCCACACTGTGAAACAGACAGCTTTCCTCCTCTAATTTGTTTTGTTTGGGGCACATCCTGTCTTCTAAGCATGTACAGACACTTGAAGTTATTTAGCTATAACTTACCTGGCACAGGTATGCTAGCACAGCCCCTCCAGCTGCATCCATTACACAACCTCCACTGCTTTCCCAGTCAGGTCCCAGCCCCACTGCAGGAAGAGCTGGTTGCACAATACTTTTGCGCCCTGATTTTCATACTGAAGAAACCAGGATGTTCGTGGATGGTATCTGCAGCATGCAGACAATTTGATCTTGGCTGCTAAACCACCACAGCTGGAGATCTTTACTCCCTCAACACACTTAACAGAAGCTTATTTCTGTTCCTCTCGTCTCTGCCCTGCAATGTTTTCCTCATCATCCTGCCCATTTTCTGCTTAGCCCTAGTCTGGCTGTAGCAGGCCAGTTTGTTTTACCAATGTATAAATAGTGCTCCTGGCTATTCAGAGCAGCTGACCCGTCCAACTCTGGATAGTTCCAGCTCTGTAATGCACCAGGAGAAATAAAGGGGAAAACTGGCAACATTATGATTTGCAGCCTTCTGTCTTTTTGCAGGTTGTTTTCCTACAGTGGCACAATGTACAGAAAGTGAAGCGGAAGCTTTCCGTGTCCTCTCCTTTGTCTGCAAAAGGTTGTGTACAAGAAAGAACAGGGTGTGGAGAACAACGCGTACTGTGACAGAGGAGCCAACATGCCTCAGGCTAGTGAAGAAGTAGCCAGAGTGAAGGAGCAGCTCTCTGAGATCCAGGTGCGCGCCCTTCCCCTATCCAGCCTGAACACTGCCACAGAGCAGGAGCAGAAGAGGACAGCTGCTTCCATTGCAGCGTTATATCCCTGCTCCTATAAACCTCTGACTAATCCCCTTAAGTAGCTTGGTGCTGGCTTTCCAATCACACGGGGCTTAAGTTACAGCTATTGCATTAACAGCGCTAAGGAGAATCTCTGGAGTTGTGGTCCTGGGCACGCTGAGATAGAGAGAAAGCTGCAGAAGTTGGGAGTCAGGTCCCCCAGGGTAGACACTTGTCCTCTCTAATACGCTATTTTGGGGGCAGTAAGGTTCTACCCAGGTCTGAGAGGCAGCATGCACATCCTCAGTGGGGAAAGGCTCCACATCACATAGCTGCCCGAAGGATTAAGGATAATCACTTGATGGATAGCAATAAACCTCTTAGCTCTGCCCCGGCTTCAGCTGCTGGGAAACTGTGGCACTGAAGACAAAGTTTTCTCACAACCGGTAAAGAACTTTGCTGCCTCAAAGAGTCTTGTCTGTAAATCTTTAGTAATAGCTGGAGCAACGTCAGGTGTGTTTGCCAGAAATAAGGGACTTATACGGCTGATTTATAATTTAAAACAATACACATTGCATAATAGACATGCACCATAAACTCCTAACTATATGTTTATAGTGTGCACTTATAAATTAAACAGCTGATGGTATGCACTTAAGGATATAAGGCGAGTGACACAAGCATGCTTCTCTGGTTTGGAGACACAGCAGGTCTCGCTGCCCAGGCCACTCTGCTTTCCAAATGGCAAAGCCACACAGCAGCCCTGTTTGCTGGGATGGATCTGCCTGCGTGACAATTTGCCATTTAGTGCTCAGTGTCTTCTAACTTTCACCACACACATTTGTATAAGATCCTCAGAACAGGCTGTATTTTAAAGACAAAGCACCCTTTAGACAGTCTTCCTTTGCCACCACTTGTCAAGCGTCATCATTACCACAGATGTTCCCCTTGGATATTCTTGGAAATATCCAAGACCTGGGAATTCTTTAGACAGAGCGGGATGTAAGAGAACCTCTTCCAGGGCTGCCTCCACAGCGGAGGGCAGCTGGCGGCCCACTCCCACAGCTGAGCCCCGAGCACTCTGCAGTACGGCCAGAGCCCTTCGTGTGGAACCAAAGGGAGAGCGGTGCTCCCGTGCAGGCTCAGCAGCCGGGGGCTCCCCGGGAGCAGAACGGCCCCTCTGGATCTCAGCTGCTTGCTGAGCGGCCCGCAGCCCCAACAACAACTGAGGAAACCAAGAGAGCTTGGAAATCTAAGAAAATAAACCCGGTCCCTCCTGCCGCCGTGAGGAGACGTCCCGTTAGGAGCTGTCGCGCCGTTCTGGCTCCCAGCACCGCAGCACACGGGTCCCCCACCTCCCCCGGCCCCAGCTACAGCCGCCCCTTACCTCCGCTCCGCTCACACGCCGCCGCCGCCTCAGTGCCGCGAGTGCCCCCCCGCTGGCGAGGCCCGCCCCAAGGAGGAGCCGCGGAGCGGCGGTGCCGCTCGGTTCCCGGGGCAACGCGGGCGGGCAGACGGCGGCCATGGGCAGCTGGGCCGCGGCAACATGGCGGCTCGCTGGCTGCAGCGGGCGCGGCGTCCTGCGCGGCGCAGCGCGGCGGCGGGGCAGCTCGCTCCGAGGCGGTGGGGAACGGGCGGCGAGCCTGAGCGAGCTGCTGCAGAGCTCGGTGGGGGACGAGGAGCCGGGCGAGGAGGGGGAGGCGGCGGGGCCGAGGCGGGAGGGGCGGTCTCCGCGGGAGGGCACGGTGCTGCTGTTCCCCGGGCAGGGCAGCCAGTTCGTGGGGATGGGCCGCGGGCTGCTGCGCTACCCCGGCGTGCGGGACATGTACCGCCTGGCCGAGAAGGTGCTGGGCTACGACCTGCTTTCGCTCTGCCTGGAGGGGCCGCGGGCCGAGCTGGACCGCACCCGGCACTGCCAGCCCGCCGTGTTCGTCGCCTCCCTGGCCGCCGTAGAGAAGCTCAACCACCTGCAGCCTAAGGTAGGCGGCGGACGACGGGCCCCGCGCCGAGCCGCAGGGGCCGCGACGCGGCTCCCGCCGCCCGGCTCCTCCGCGCGCTCCCCCCCGCGGCTCTGCCCGGCCCGGCCCCGCTGACGGCCGCGCGTGTGTCTGCGCAGGTTGTGGAGAGCTGTGTGGCCGCCGCCGGCTACAGCGTGGGCGAGTTCGCGGCGCTGGTGTTCGCCGGAGCCATGGACTTCGCGGAAGGTGCGCGTCGGAGGGTGAATTTTGCTTTCTGCTTCCACGGTTTGCTTTGATATGCGTGACGTCGCATTCAAAGCACCAACCTTGGAAAGGGTCTGGAGTCGATAGGCGTCTGAACGTGAGCCAGCAGCGTGCTCGGGTGGCCAAGACGGCCGACGGCATCCTGGCTTGCGTCAGAAATAGCGCTGCCAGCAGGAGCGGGGAGGCGATCGTCCCTCTGTACTCAGCACTGGTGAGGCCGCACCTCCGGTGATGTGTTCAGTTTTGGGCCCCTCACTGCAAGAAAGGCGTGGAGGTCCTTCCAGAGGAGGGCAGCAAAACTGGTGAGGGGTCTGCAGCACAAGTCTTAGAGGAGCAGCTGAGGAGCTGGGATTGTTCAGTCTGGAGAAGGGGAGGCTCGGGGAAGACCTTATTGCTCTCTACAACTCTGTTGCAGTGAGGTAGGGCTCGGCCTCTTCTCCCAAGAAACTAGTTATAGGACAGTAAGTAATGGCCTCACGTTGCAGCAGGGGAGGTTCAGATTGGATATTACAAAAAAATACATCTCTGCAAGGGCAGTGATGCATTGGCACAGGCTGCCCAGGGAGGTGGTGGAGTCACTGTCCCTGAAGTTGTTCAAGAAACGTGTAGATGTGTCACCGAGGGACACGGTTAGTGGGCATGGTGTGGATGGGTTGACGGTTGGACTGGATGATCTTAGTGATATTTCCAACCGTAGTGATTCAGTGATTCTCACTCCCGATGTGAGTAAGCTGCCTATCTGCACTCACCTGTCCCGTTCTCCCCTCAGCACTCTATGCTGTGAAGGTACGTGCTGAGGCCATGCAGGCGGCGGCGGAGGCCATCCCCAGTGGGATGCTGTCAGTCATCAGCAGACGAGAGGCCAACTACAAATACGCCTGCCTGGAAGCCCGTAGGCACTGTGAGTCACTGGGCATAGACAACCCCGTGTGCGAGGTCTCCAACTACCTGTTCCCAGATAGCAGAGTCATCGCAGGGCACATACAGGTAGGTACTGCTGCAGGAGATGCACCTGCTTACTTCAACTTCATGTATTAAAACTTCTCCAAAAGTAATGCCACCTATTTTATTTTGTTGGTCCACAATGTCAGAGGCAGATGTTGGTGGTATGGCAGTAGAGGCTAAACCTTCCCATCAGTATTGTGTTACGTTTTGTTGCTGTGTGACAGATGGCAGCAGAGGGACAGTCTGACAAAATGGCATCTGACATGGAAGTGCATATAAAGCAAAGGTCTGTCCTTGAATTCCTCCATGTGGAAAAAATGGCAGCCATTGACAGTCATCAGCACTCACTGAATATTTGTAGAGACCAAACACATGGAGGCAGCGGGTGGTACTTTTCAACAGTAGTGACAGCAACCATAGGTCACCTCTGCTGTTACAGATTTTTATGAGCACAGCATGCAGGCTCTTGTTCATTGCTGGCAAAAATGCATAGCTAATGGTAGGGACTATGTTGCAAAATAGTGTTTTGTAGCTGAGAATTTGCTCTATCAAATTGTGTTATTGTGCTCTTTGTTGTAGAAATAGTAGGAGGCATTTCTTTCAGAACAGCCTATGTATTTGCTTCATGGTTGTTTTTTTTCCCCAGTGTGTGCTTGCTGGTTGGGTAGGAGAGGAGTGGCTTTATTGCCTTGGGCCTGGAGAGGCCAATCTGGTGGAGTGAGCACGTGGAATTCTGTTGTGTCAGGCTGTGACTGCTCTCACATTCTTATAGGCTTTGGAGTTTTTGCAGAAGAACGCCCCAAAATTCTACTTCACACGTACCAAAATGCTTCCGGTCAGTGGTGCCTTCCACACACAACTCATGGAACCAGCAGTAGAGCCACTGGCTGAAGTCCTGAAGTCCATCGAAATACAAAAACCACTGATTTGTGTCTATTCCAACGTTGACGGCAAAAAGTACATGCACTCAAAGCACATCCAGAAACTGCTGGTGAAGCAGCTCGTCTCACCTGTACTGTGGGAGCAGACTATGCATTCTGTGTACCAGAGGAAGCAGGGAATGGAATTTCCATACACTTATGAGGTGGGTCCTGGGAAACAGCTGGGAGCGGTTCTCCGAAAGTGCAATCTGAAGGCCTGGAGGCAGTACAGCCACGTGGACGTCACAGAGGAGGAGGAAGCAGCAGAGACATAAACAGCTTTTTGAGAAGAATCCACGCGACTTGTGCTTTCCACATTGTACAAATAATGTCAGGCTCCTGAAAGGGGAAGTGGGAAACACCGATGGCTCTTGGCAGTGAGAGGAGCACCATGCGTCACCACAGGAAATGTTCTTCTCCACCGTGTGCCTTGGGTGTGGAGTGGGAGCTCAGCTCTCCCCCCTGCACCAGGACTGCAGAGTTGTCAATAAATGCACCAGGCAACTTTCTCCTTGGCCTGCATCCTCCAAGCAACGTCCTTGTTTTTTTTCCTTGTTTTATTTATTTTGGATTTGTGTGCGTGGTGAGTGTGTGCGTTCAAATTACAGCCAGAAGTAGCACTGTCTGTGCAAGGTGTGCTGCATGGGTTACACTGTGCTGGCTGATACAGGCCTGCTGATGCCCTTCTGTGGCATGGGGCTCCTTTAGGTGACTCCATCCCCGTGCAGCCACTTTGGTGCAGGAGTGTTCCCATGCTTTGCCTAAGCTACCTGCTGCAATATTCACCTCCATCAAATCCTTTTGTTTTACTGTTGCCACCTAGCAGTCAAATAAGGCAAAATATGTGGATTTGGGTTGGTTGGGTTTTGTGGGGTTTTTTTTTTTGGCAGAAGGGATATGATTTTCCTAAGGTTTAAGCTATCAGTAAACTATAGAACTTTTCTTGTTATTTTGGATGCTTCACAGCATGTGATTACTGGCAGGTAGTCCCCACGTGGGAAGAGACTGTTTTCCATGTAGCTGCTCAGTGTCACACCGGTGTTAGGTTACCTTGGAAGGAGGAAAGTAAGGAAAGGAAAGCCTTGGCAAGGCTCAGAGTCAAGAGGTGCTGCTGCACTGTGGCTGTGCAAAGTGCAGTGCTGGCCAACCACTGGTTCAGGGTACAGGCTCCTTATGCTGTTCTCGGACCTGTGACAATTACACACAGAAACTCTTTGCTTTTTGCCTGCAAACAGCAGTGCTTAAAGCTCTAAAGAAAATCAGAGCAGCCATTTTTTATGCGATTGTGTACAGAAGTGCAGGCAAAGGCTGTGTTGTGGGTATGCAGCTGAATAGCAGTAACTTTGGCTTGACCTTCATGTCTTTTTAGTTTTGCAGTCTTGTTAGTATAGCATTTAGTAGATACATAGGAAAAGTCAATAGGATAGTGCTGAAATGACCATACACATCTTCAGTAATGGATTAGGAATTGCAGAATAAATTTCAGTTACAGTATGAATCGCTTCATTAGTTCATGTTTCTGAAGCACTCTGTCCTCAGCTGTGGTCAGGTAGTGGGCATCGCTGACAAGTTTTGTGAGCTGAGGTGGGCAGCCACCCCACCTGCCTGCACAAATCCCAGTTTGGCACATGTCAACATTACCTAAGAGCAGAATGCAGGATTGTCAGCTTTGTTATTGGGCCATTGTAGGCTGCCAAATGTCAGGGTTACTGGAACAAAAGTGATTTCAGTGAACTCTTATGTCAGAGAGAGTGTCTTAATTAGTGAAGCATGGCAAACTCAGCACTAGGTGGTTGGAATATTTCAGCTAAATCATATTCATGTTCCTAAACACCTAACAATGAGCTGTGTTAGAAGTGTCTGACTCCATCTTGTAAGACCCAAAGCAGCTTGTGTAATAGTTGGAACTCAATATGACACACTGGTGGCACTAAGTTGGGTTTTAGTACAGTGTATTATGGTTTGCAGACTTTTTAAAAATAACATGCTGGGGGTAATTTTCAAGACCGGTATTCTGTTTATCCTGTTCTTGCCATACATTTGTGTATGTATCTGTGTGTTTGTATTTACATACATATAACCAGCAGTGGTTTTTCACTCATTTCACTTTACTACACAGTTTGCATGGAGAAAAAGTTCTTTGGAAGAAACCCAAATAGATAGAAGCCTCTGTCTGCAGGTATAGGGCAGTGTTCAGTGTCCTTCCTACACCATGAGATGCAGAATGCTGAAGTGACACCTGGGTTCTGGGAGCATCGTGTTCTCATCAGCCCTGTTTAACTGGGGGCAGAAGCAGCTGTTGCAACTGCACAGCTTTGTTTTTTCTCCATGCGCTTTCACACACAGTAGCATACCCTGGTGTTGATGGTATGGTCCATACAAGCTGAGTTTGC